TTATAAAAAGATTAAATTTTCTAGCGTGATATAATTATTGCTGTTGGTTTTTTTTTATTCCATTCTCTTATTCTCTTACAAGAAACAAATTAATTAGGAGATATGGAAAGAAAGAAAAACAAATTGGATGTTTAAATTATACAATTAAAAAAAGTCATCAAAAGTCAATCATAATTAAATTAAATTTTTTTAATGATTTTTTAATAAAAAATAAAAATATAAAATTTTATAAATATTAAAAATATTATAAAATTTTAAAATTTTTTAAAAAACGAAATTCTACTAATCCCATCTTCTACTTCTGATCATGACGTCCTTTTTAACTATTCTGTCCTATTAATTGTCTTATTAATGTGGTTGTCGTCTAACTACCATCACAATGGAAGACCTCGGAGCTCAAGTCTTCTCTATGTCACTATTTGGGCACATTCTTCCATCGATTTACCTTCATTTTTTCATAATTAATACCATTGTCTTGGCACCTTCATTTTTTGGTAATGGTGGACCAGGACAAAGAACCCCTAAGTCCAATACTGCAGGTTGGCTATTGTTACTTTTATTTGTGATTGGGAAATCTTAGTTTGTTGTAATTGTGGAGTTTGTTGGAATACGTGTCTCTTTTATTATGGTTTTATCTATATTGTATATTTGAATGATTTTTTTTTATAAAAAGTGAATATTGTATTGGAATATATATTTTATTTGATTTTTACTCTGACAAAGATTATATGCCTCTTTAAAGGAGTGATAGATGTATATTCTATTTTTAGTATGTTAGTAACTGTTGTCGAATTAAAGGATTTTTTTATTAGATATACTTGGATTACTTTAATGAAATGAAAATATTTAATAACTTTTTTTAACAAATAATTTAATTAGTTTGTACAATTTTTTTACAAATGGAAAGTTAATACTTTTTAATTATTTAAAAATAACTCTGAGGTGTAAAAGTTCATTTTTGAAATAAAGCTAAACAAAAATGCTAAAATTATCTAATTTAATTTGATAGATTTTTGTTCAATTTAGCCTTGCAATAATGTTCAAATAAGCCTCTAAACTATTCAAAAATATTCAAATAAGTACTTATTCTTTTATTGCATTTAATCAAGCTTATTTGTTTTTATTTTAAGTTAAATAAGCCCTTATAACTTATGATTGACTAATTGCTATTAATCAAAAATATCATTTGTTATTTTTTATCCATATAATGACATTGACATGGTGTTGATGTAGATGATAAAAAATGCTCATGATTATGTTATTATATTAAATTAACATGTTATATCATTAATTATAATATGTTAGCATACCACGTTAGTATGATGTGATAGAATGACAAATAAGATTTTGATTAAATCAATTATTAGTCATAAGAGAACAAATAAGATTTTGACTAAGTCAATTATTAGTCATAAGAGGACAAATGGGATTTGGATTAAGTCAATTATTAGTCATAAGGGGCTATTTGACTCAAAATAAATGTAATAAAAGTATAAAGACTTGATTGAATGCAATAAAAATATAATAACTTACTTGAATTTTTATAAATAGTTTAGAGGCTTTTTTAAATATTATGTACTATTAAATTTTGTTCAATTTAAACTCTATAGTCTACATCTTTATTTAATTTAATTCTTATGACATGGCATAAAAAAATTGACATAGAAAAAAAAATTTCAAAAAAAGAATTTCTTTCAAAAAATAATTTCAAGCTAGAGACATCAATATATTAGTGCCATGTCATCATTATATCAACATAGTCTAACATGAAAAAAATCGACATAGGAAAAAAATTTTCAAAAAAAAGAATTTCCCTCAAAACAAAATTTCGAGCCTAACACATCAACATGTTAATATCACATCATTATTATGTCAACATAGTCTAACATATTAGCATCTAGCCAGCATCATTAATGATCAATTTAGACAATGTCAAGGGAAGGGATACGATTGAACAAAATCTCAAAATACGAGGATTAAATTAATCAATTTTAGATAAAAAGATTAAATTAGAGAAAAGTTCGTAGTAGGACCTATAAGATATTTTAACCTAAATTTTACTTGGAAAACCTGTAACAGATAAGAAGAAGATACATATCAATATTATTTATAGAATTTTTTCTAAATAAATAAAAGTAAATTTTATAAAAGAAAGATCAATACAAACTTTAGCTAAAAGGTGCAAACAAGAAACAAACCAACAAAAGTTAGCTGTAACTCAATAAGAAATACTATTGAATTAAGTATTGTTGGAAAATAAAAAGAAAAAAAAAAGATAGAGAGAAAAAGAACTGCGTATCAATACCAAACAATGACAAAGGAACCGGAGAAAGACAATTGCAAATGAAGAGTAAAAAGACTTTAACTTCCCTAGAATAGGCATCATACATATTAACAAATTCAGGGGCACTGTAGAAAGTTAATTTCTGATTTAAGGCTTTACAAGTAGGTGTCAAGGAAGAGTAGCTACATTCTACCGTAAAATTTTTATAAACTAATATGTCTGGATTATGAAAATTTCTTAATTAATTGAAATATTATTTAATTGATAAAATAATAAAAAATTAATTTATCGAGATATTTAACAAATTCAGGGGCCGAAGCTTGTGTATTATGATGGGCCATGATTTTTAAAATATTTTATATGTTATATATTTAAAATATTAATTCATACCAATTTTTTTAAAAATTAACATTAATTCATATCATAATATATAAGAAAAATATTTAGTTTCAAAATTTTTTAAAGTATTTTATGTATTATCTATTTAAAACATTAATTAATACCATCATTATCAGAATAGATAAGGAAAATATTTAATTTCCAAGATTTTTAAAATATTTTATATATTATATAGTTAAAATGTTAATTTATGTAATTATTATGAGAATACGAATTATGTAAGAGATTAGAAAAATAGGAAAGTCAATAAATTATTATTGATTGATAGATTAATTTGTAATGTTTTGATTCTTCCAATTTCTATGGCAACTATAAAGTTAGTCATTTCAATGATAAAAATTGTAAAAATAAGATTTTTGAACAAATTAGATGATGAATTTCTTATAAATAATTTAATTGTTTATATTAATAAAGATATTATTAACTTTTTTAATATAGAGTCAACAATTGATAAATTTGAATTTAGAAATATTGTCGAACACAATTTTCCTAAATGACTATTGTAAGTATTTTTTTTATTTTTTTTGTTTACATGTTATATAAAATTATTATCTATAATAAAATTTTTAATTATTGATTAAATTCAAAATATTAATTTTAAAAATCTTCAATTTGTGGAGCATTGGGAACTTCTTTGACGCTTGTGGATTTGGAGGTTTTGCTTTGGTTTTTTATTCCTGTTTGTTGAGGATTTTGAGTTGACGACCTTTCTTTGTGGCGAATGTGAGGGTTAAGTCCTGAATCCATCGTGGTTGGAAGCCTTCTTTGCGACTCTGCTCAGGCTGTTTTGTTTCCTTTGTCGTTCTCATGTGGATTTCTTTTTGAGGGGCTCTTTGTTGTTTTCTATTTTAGTTTATTCCAGTTGATTATGTAGAATTTCTTGTCACCTTGATTTTGTAGGACTTTTGACCTGGTTTAGACTTTGAAAGGGTGTAGGCTCTAAGGGCTTATTGTGTAGGCGATTTTTATGAATGTACAGTCTTCTTTGCCCTTATCAGGTTTGCTATGCCATTAGAGTCTCTAGCCTAAAAGGCTTAAGACTTGCGATGGCATCACTGATAAAGAAGGAATAAACCATCATCTTTTAAAAATAAAAAATTTTAACCCTTATTTCCTTTTATCTTTAATCTCTTCATTAAAAATTAACTAACCCCATCCTTGTTAATAGAGATGTAGATGACCATGGCAGCACTGTAGAGAAACCTCATCAGGCTGCTGACTAATTAAGGTTGTTTTCAGAGGGGCTCTTATGCATATAGCATCTTGGAAGAAAATTATAGTCTGATGGAATTAGTGGTTGACTGTTGTTGTGATTGTGGTGATGGTGATGTTAGGTTTGGTTGCTTTTATTAGTGTAATTTAGTGGTTGATTGCATTTTATCTTAATTACTTGTAAAAGCTGCAGTTAGTTTATTGATAGAAAAGCATTTCAGTTTTAATTTTGTATAATGATACTGTGATCACTGCTGAAGTGGATGGACTTGCATACTGGAGCAAGGTTACATGGTAGACGTATGTATCTTCTGTTCAGAGAAAGAGCTGAATTCTGAGTCTTTTTCCCAATCAAGAATGGATATTCTGTGATCTCTTTGTCATTTTTCTGTTTTTCATTTCACCAAATGCACGCTATTTGTTGCTTAATAAACCTACATCTCTCTTAATTTGAAATTGGTCATAAAGCATAGAAAGGTGAGTCTGCAAACTGTTTTGCATGTTGTTGTATATCTTTATTTCTAATTCTATACAATACTGGCAGAAACATCAAGCATACATGCATGACTGAGAGGATAA